GAAGAAGAAGAAGAAGAAGAAGAAGAAGAAGAAGAAGAAGAAGAAGAAGAAGAAGAAGAAGAAGAAGAAGAAGAAGAAGAAGAAGAAGAAGAAAGCATTTAATAGAAGGGAATATCTGTAGTTCAGGAATTAGTTCAGGAATAGTGGAATCCTTGGTGGTCTCTGAGCTTGGCAGATTTTTTTTTTGCAGATGATTCATTACCAAACTAACCAACCTTCTAAGACTGATTATGTTACCTTGCTGGGCAATGAAACATACTGAAACCGATGAAACCAAGGACCCCACAGTCCTCCTCTCCTCTCTCCCCCTCTTATCTGCAAACCCCCCCTCCCTTCTAGCACTGAAGATGTTCCCTAGTTTTGTCATGAAAGGTTTGCAAGGAAACACCCAAACTCAGAATATCAAGGACCCCACAGTCTTCTTCCCCCTCCTTTGCTGCAAACCGCTCTCACTTTTTGAGAAAAGGCCAGTAGACACCAGAATTTTCAATGCTGACTTTATGGAGGACGCCTCCTTTCTGGAGCAAGGACTTTATCCAGCGTGAGAAAGTGGTCAGCAGTCAGGGAGGCCAAAGGGGAATGGGCCACGCAGGAGGAAGACTTTATCTGGCCGGGTTGGATGTGAGGATGGAATAGCTGCTTCCGGCTGGCTCCTCCATCAGGTCTTGGGGCTCAGAGGGGTCCTGAGGAAAGAGAAAAGGGGAGCTGAGAAGGAGGAACAGAAGATGCATCTCGGCTGGAATGGAGCTGCGTCTTCCCGGTCAGCAGAAGGCGCCACGGAATGGAATGCATTGGGTCAGAGTCCCGGGAGGGAGGGGCCACCCCAAAAGAGTAAGTGGCAGCAGATAGTCTGAGAGAAAGAGGGCGAAGGCAGCCTCTCCTCAATAGTTCCTTGGTTTTAGATAAACAGGTGGCTTTAACGTGGCAAGATTCACTCTCTAGGTGCAGAACAAGAAAGAAATGTGCTTGGAAGAATTATTGCCTGTCTGTCTGGGGTTTTGGAGTCTGAGTATCTGACCTTCTGACTTTGAGGAAAGCAATAGGGCCTGTGATGGTCTCCCATGGAAAGAATGAGACACAAGCGTGTGTACTCGGGATGGGAGCCCAGCGTAAATTCCAGTGCTCCCTTTTATTGAGATTTTAGTACATAGTAAGCATAATCACAATGTGGATTACAATAATTAGATATAGTACACAGACTTGTTTACAGTTGTCTAAGTTGCTTAATTGTTTCTAGTGTTTGCTTTTAATTTCCTTGCTTTATCTCAGTGACCTTTAGGCAGACATGTATGTATAAGGTCTTAGACTAATCATTACCCAATACCCAAGTCAAAGTTTATTCCCACAAGGGCCCCTGTGGCCCCTCCAGTTCCTTCACTCTCCTGAATGCCAGAGTCACACCTGGGGCTTCTTCATTCCTTTCTATCCTTTTATTCAGCGGGGGACAAGTCCAGGAGGGAGAGACACCCCAGAAGAGTAAGAGACAGTGGATAGTCTGTGTGAGAGACAGAGGGTGGAGACAGCCTCTCTTGAATAGTTCCCAGAGGATATCGTGCATTCAGATAGTGGAGTCTTTAATCTGGCCATATTCTGTCTATAGGTGCGAAACAATACTCATCTTGGAAGAATCATCCTGTCTTATTCTTGGCTCGGGGCCTGAGAGAGGGTGGACTAAGGAATTCTGGGAGTTCACACGTGATGTGATGGAATATAGCAAGGAGGGGGGATCATAAGAGGGAAGAATGCATTGCAGAGGAGTAAGAGCTAACAGATAGTCTGTGTGAGAGAAAGAGGATGAAGACAGCCCCTCCTCAATAGTTCTCAGAGTATATCCTTGGTGTAGATAGCAGGTTGCTTTAGGGCGGCAAGATTCTGTCTCTAGGTGCAGAACAAGAAAGAAATTGAATTGGAAGAATCACGACATGTTTTTCTGGTCTTTGAGAGCCTGAGGGTCTCCTTCTGGTTTTGAGGAATGAAATAGGCCCCTGTGCCCCCCCATTCCTCTGGGCCTTCCTGGATATCAGAGCCACACCTGGGATGAGGTTTCATCATTCATTCCTATGTCCTTTGCTCGCCAGGAGACAAGCCAGAAGTTCCCCCTAGGCCTCTGCAGCTCTTTGAGTCCTTGGATTGAGAAACAGCTTCCCGTTCTGCGCGTTATGGCCCAAAGTGTCTTCACTGCAGAGGCCCTGCCTTGAGTTAGGGACCCTTCCAGAGACCCCACTGATTATTCTCTGGGTCCTGGAAGGCAGAAGGGAGGGAGGGGTGTGTGTGTCAAGACTCATTCTCATTCCAATGCAGGAAGAAAACAGGTGAAGGATGCCCCTCGTGTTTCCTGGGACATTCCCTGGGCAGCTGGAGCGGTTGCCCTGCAGGAGGAGCAAGGCCTGGATGAGCAGGAAGATTTCCCCTCTGAGGGAGAGAAGCCGCTCAGAAAGGTGTAATATCAGAATAAAGGAAGGAGAACCTGCTGTGTGACCTGGGAGTGTTTGCGGACAGGATGAACTCTTGGGAAAGGCCGTGGCTGCCAGTTCTTTTGTGGGCTGGAGGTGGGCTCTGCCAAACCCTGGCATCAGCTGTTGCCAGGAAGGAAACCCCACAATGGAGGGAAAGGGAGCTTCAGGGGTCACGAAAGGCTTCAGAACGAGATGGGAAAGAAAGGATAGGACAGGGGAAGAAAGAGAAAGAAGGAAGGAAGGAAGGAAGGAAGGAAGGAAGGAAGGAAGGAAGGAAGGAAGGAAGGAAAGAAGGAAAGAAGGAAAGAAGGAAAGAAGGAAAGAAAGAAAGATGAGCAAGAAAGAAAGGAAGGAAGGAAAGAATGGAAGGAAGGAAGATAGGAAGGAAGAAGGGAAGGAAGGAAAGAAAGAAAGAGTAGGAAAGGATCAAAGGAAGGAAGGGAATAAGGAAAGAGAAAAAGGAATGAAAGGAAGGAATGAAAGGAAGAAAAGAATGAAAAAGAAAGAAAAAAGGAAAGAACAGAAAGAAGAAAGCAAGGAAGGAAGGAAACGAGGAATGAAAGGAAGGCAGGAAGGAAGGAAAGAGAGAGAGAGAGAGAGAGAGTAAGTCTCGCAGTCTGGGCCTTCCCCTCACCTGGGCTGAAACACTCCCTGGCGCATCCGACTGGGCAGCATTTCTTATTCCCTTCGCATTCCGAGTCGCAGGCACAATCTTGGTTACATGGATGGTCAGGACCAATTTTGACCTTGGGACACTCGCCCGGCTTGACTGGAAAAACAGAACATGAACTCTGAGGTTGGCCCAGAAGGATGGCCAGTGCTGCTCAACAGCCCTTCTGCCAGCTTCTCTGCTAAAAGTTAATGGCTTGGTGTTGGACCCCCCCCCTCCTTGTTGCAAACGTGGTGCCACTATGCAAACAATTAACTACATTGTGCAAGACAGTCCACAATAGGGACTCTCTGGTTCCCCAGAAGATCTGCATGAAGCAACGCCAGAGGCCATCACCCAAATAGCTGGACTGAACGTCCAGTCATGAGGCCACTGCTTTACCCCCATGTAATTTTGTGGGGTGTGCGTGTATGTTTACTTTGTCACGTCTTCATCATATGCAAACTAAATGATTGCATGTTACACGTGACTGTAGTGTGTATGTGCACGTAGGAGCCCTTGCTCCTTCGTCCCAGAAAATGGACCCCAGTCTGGACGTGGTAGGCACACTTTCCTTTCATGAGTGCATCTCATTTTCAATCTTTTGCCTTCAAACGGAAGGGAGATCCCTGACTGCTTGTATGATCAGCTGGGCAGGGGGCACCTGCAAGAAAACCCAAAGGTGCTTTTTCAGGAGGCAACTGGACATCTTTTTTTTCTTTTGAAGATGTTTCACTTCTCACCCAAGAAGCTTCTTCAGCTCAGACAGGATGGTGGGGAATGGTAGGATTTATACTCATTGCAGACAGCTGGTCATTTGCATCCTTTTAGAGGGACATTGAAGCACCTGGAGGTTTAATCTGTGTCCTCTGAGAACCTCCATAGACATGGTCGAGAAAGCCAACAGGCTGAACTTCAATGAAACTCCCTTGGCTACTACCATCTTGGTTTTTTCCCCTCCCACCATGCTCTCAGGGAATTGTGCAGCTGGTGTCCATGTGAAATCAGGGACTCTGACATGAATTTTTAGTTTTATTTAAACAAATACATCTTATATCAATATTTACAACAGACAAGATAGGCTAACAGGAACATCATGAGGTATATCAACCAAGGAAAATGTTAAGGTATTGAAGATTTCAGAGCTGCTGTAAGGCTGATGCAATGAGGATGAATCAGCATGGTTATTGGTGCTTTAAGACTGAGGATGGGTCCCACAGGGTTTTACCACTTTAAGAAACTGTATATACATAGCCAGCCATGAGAGGGCGTCTCTCTCTCTCTCTCCTTGTGTTCTGTCTCCATTACAGTTCTCCATGCAGAGTAAAGAAGATGGATTGCTTGCCTGGTATGTGTCACACTGCAAACACTCTGACAGAAAATCATCATGAGGTAAATTACAGAGCACACAGGAGAAAAGGGGGGGGAACATCCCCCTCCACACCCACAGCAAACAGTTGCATCACAGATTGCCTCATGACAGAGCCAGTGCTCTTCAACTAATTAACCACAACGGTGTGCTGTGATGCATTGTACAATTCCACTCTTCCAACTGCTAAGTTTAAATATCTGAACACATGTCCCACAGACACCCCATATTTTCTATAAACCTGCTTTGCTAGGCCTGAAAAGTTGACATGCATCATGAAAGCCACCCTGAACTGGGGACCACCAGACCATCTACATACACACAGCACTTTCTCCTCTCAGTCTTTATGGAAACACTTCTAAAGACATTGTCTGAAGAACCCAGATTGGCTGCATACTTGCAAAGAAAGGAAGAGGCATTTGTTGGTCTGAGCTCCGATCTTGGCAATTTGGTTGCAAACGTTTCATCACCATTCAAGGAGACATGGTCAGCATGCTTTGAATTGGGTTGGTCTGTCAGAATGCCAGCCTTTAAATACTTTTCGTGTGATACAAATTAGCATTAGTGTTGTTTGTTCACATACTTCTGAAGTAAGTAATGTACATCACATAAAATTTGCATCACATAAAAAGGTATATAAGGCTGGCATCCTGACAGAGAAACCACAATTCAAAGCACACTGATGATGTCTCCTCGAATGGTGACAAAACGTTTGCAACCAAATTGCCAAGATTGGAATGCAAACCAACAGCCCAACTACTAGCCTGAGTTACTAATATTCAAAGATATTTCATATGACAGTTTCTGGCTTCATGTCCTACCGCCTGATTGAGAAGCGTACACTAAATATGAACTTCACATTCTAGGAAGTATGTTGGGCTCTTTCTTAATCAGTTTCCTTTGCTACCATCTAGTTATTGCGCTTTGTTCCTGCTCAATACAGATAATGTGCTTGCTATTAAAAAATAGTTGCATTGTGAACCAACCAAAGGTTTCATGATTTCCATCCAGGTGGCCGTTAAGCAAATTTGAAGTCTGCCTTCTCTGAAATTAACAGAATAACAAGTTGGAAGGGAACTTGTAAGCCATCTAGTCCAAACCTCCACCAAAGCAGGAGACCCTACACCATTTCTGACAGATGGCAGTCCAGTCTCTTCTTGAAAGCTTCCACGAATGAAGTTCCCACAACTTTTGAAAGCAACTTCTGTTCCATTGGTGGATGGTTCTCACTGTCAGAAAGTTTCTCCTTATCTCTAGGTTGAATCTCTCCTTGATCAGTTTCCATCCATTATTCCTTGTCTGGCCTTTGTGTACCTTGGAGAATAGTTTGACCCCCCCTTCTCTCTGTGGCAGCCCCTCAAATATTGGAAGACTGCTATCATGTCTCCCCTGGTCCTTCTCTTCCCTAGACTAGTCATGCCCAGAGTTCCTGCAACCATTCTTCATATCTTTTAGCCTCCAGTCCCCTAATCATCTTTGTTGCTCTAATGGATTTAATTAATTAATGGGATTCTGTCCACCCAGAGTGTATGCAATGGCTAGACCCTACCTTCTGCAAAGAAAGATGAATAACCTGGCTTTGGGTGGACCAATTGCAATCCCATGTTAGTCAAACTAAAAGTATTCTTAGTGCGTTTCAAAGTCCTGGATTGAGCAGAAGTGTGGGACGCACCCTCAGGCTGTGGTGCTTACCTTTTGGGGGACAAAGTTGTTTGGTGGTCTTTGCTGTTGCCAGTTGAGTTGAAAGGATGAGGAGACCAGCTAGGAACAGAAGAATCCAAGGTTTCATGATGCACTTCTAGTCCAACTTGCAGCAAGAATTCTTTGTCTCTGCTGTATATTTCTAAACTCACTTGGACTGGGGTTGTTCTGTAGGGAGGGTCAGGTGATGCAACATCCTAACATGGATTTCTGACATGTTGTGTGCAAGAAAGGGGCGTATCCAGAAGAGGAAATCTTTGCCTGAAACCGAGTAGAACTTTCTGTTGGTCAATCTGGTCTTGGTCAATCTCTTGACCTTCCTTGTTCTGTGTCTTGCACTGGTCTGGGTTTTCCATGCTTTGCATGTCAAAGTTATCTACCCCAAGGAGATGTAAGACAGAGGGGGAAATTTACAGTTACTGCAACAGTGGTTGAAGCCCCTACACTACTGGATCATGACTGTTTGGTGCTGGCCTTCAGCACCAGTTGAGTTGTGCCCCAAATGAAGTGGGGATGAGGTGGCCTCCAACTCTGGAGAACTACACTCTTTCTGGGCCAAAGATCATCCTCAGATATTTTGTTCTAAAGGAATAGAAAATAGGATGGGATAGAATAGAATAGAATAGAATAGAATAGAATAGAATAGAATAACAGAGTTAGAAGGGACATTGGAGGTCTTCTAGTCCAACCCCCTGCCCAGGCAGGAAACCCTACACCTCTTCAGACAAATGGTTATCCAACATCTTTTTAAAAACTTCCAGTGTTGGAGCATTCGCAACTTCCATGAGGCCAGCTGTTCCGCTGATCAATCGTTTTCACTGTCAGGAAATTTCTTCTTAGTTCCAGGTTGCGTCTCTCCTTGATTAGTTTCCACCCATTGCTTCTTGTCCTGCCTTCAGGGGCTTTGGAGAATAGCTTGACTCCCTCTTCTTTGGGGCAGCCTCTGAGATATTGAAACACTGCTATCATGTCATTCCTAGACCTTCTTTTCATCAAACTAGTTATATCCACTTTCTGAAACCGTTCTTCATATGTTTTAGCCTCCAGTCCCCCAATCTTCTTTGTTGCTCTTCTCTGCACTCTTTCTAGACTCTCCACATCTTTTTTTACATCGTGGTGACCAAAACTGGATGCAAATATTCCAAGTGTGACCTTACCGAGGCCTTATAAAGTGGAATTAACACTTCACATGATCTTGATTCTATCTCTCTGTTGATGCAACCTAGAACCGTGTTGACTTTTTGGGCAGCTCCTGTACATGGCTGGCTCATATTTACATGGTTGCCCACTAGGACTCCGAGATCCCTCTCACTCCTATTGAGCCAGGTACCACCTATGCTGTACCTGTGCATTCAGGTTTTTTTTTTTTGCCTGAATGTTTCTTCCCACCCCTTTCTTATTAAGGCCACAGAGGAGATTCATATCTTCAAGATGAAGATCAGCTCCTTGGAACCATGGATGAAAACCTGCTCGTGGTGTCTTGCAAGCAGACACGAGGCTGCCCACCAAAAGAGCAGTGTTTTATGTTGGTTTTGGTTCAGCTGAACCGGTGCTCTCAGGGAGACAACTCTTTCAAGACTGACGGGGAGACTGTAGGACAGGGGTGTCAAACTCAAGGGGCTCTGTTTTCGCTGGCAGATGGTTGCAGGAGGCTGCTGCAGCCAAAAATGGAGCTCCCAAGAGCTGCGGGCAGCCTGTCCTGCCCCTGTTGGATGCTGATTCCGAGCGGGAGGTCGAACAGCTGACGGTGTGTGGGCGTGTGGCTCTGGTGGTTGTGGAGGAAACTGGGGAAGGGCACAAGCCGGATGGGCATTCAGAGGAAGACCCAGGCCCATCCCGTCTTCATCCGAGGGCACGCAGGGAGGAATGGGTAAGAGAGCAACTGTGAATCAGTCGCATGGTCTATGGGGGGGGGGGGGGGGAAATGTAAGTAAAAAAAAAAACCGATGAAAAAATGATGTTGGGACTCTAGAAAGAGTGCAGAGAAGAGCAACCAGGATGATTTTAGGGGACTGGAGGCGAAAACATATGAAGAACGGTTGCAGGGACTGGGTATGTCTAGTCTAGTAAAGAGAAGGACCAGGGGAGACATGATAGCATCTTCCAGTATTTGAGGGGCTGCCAGAGACAAAAGGGGGTCCACCTATTCTCCCAAGTACCTGAGGGCAGGACAAGAAGCAATGGATGGAGACTCATCAAGGAGAGAAGCAACCTGGAACTCAGGAGAAACTTCCTAACAGGGAGGACAATTCACCAGTGGAACTGCTTGCCACCAGATGTTGTAGGAGCTCCATGACTGGAGTTTTTCAAGAAGGGATTGGACTGCTATTTGTCTGGAATGATATAGGGGTCCTGCTTGAGCAGGGGGTTGGACTAGAAGACCTCCAAGATCCCTTCCAACTCTGTGATTCTATTCTATTCTATTTCTATTCTATTCTTATTCTATTTCTATTCTATTCTTATTCTATTCTAATTTCTGTTCTATTCTATTCTATTCTATTCTATTCTATTCTATTCTAATATCTATTCTGTTCTATTCTATTCTATTCTATTCTATTCTATTCTATTCTATTCTATTCTATTCTATTCTATTCTATTCCTATTATCTATTCCATTCTATTCTATTCCATTCCATTCTATTCCATTCTGTATTTTCTCTTCTCTTCTCCTCTCTTCTCTTCT